TATATATATTGGTTTATGTGTGGCAAAATTCCATCAAAATCCAACAAACTTAATTGTATATTTTTATCCAAAACTAAAACTTCAGATGAATCACCTGCCCTTCCTTTAACTGTGCCATATAAATGCCAATGACCTGCAAATGCAAACTTATGACAGTGATGGGGTCTTTTTAAACATAAGGTTAAAAGATGTTGTAGCATAAAGACTTTGATCCTGTTTTAGATTCTTTGAAGATTTATTACTATTTAGCACACCAGAAATTTAGTTATTCAAATCACATCTGAATTCAGTAAAACTCTGATAGCTTTATCACTAACATTTCTAGTGTTTAAAAGTACAAAAAAGAGAAAAGACTTTGATTATTGCTGATACAAATAACCACTAAAGGAAACGGTCACTGATCATTTGCACGGGCAAAACAGAACTGTAACGAATATCTTTTTAATACAAGAGGAAATGCTTTATATTTTCATCCTTATTTTAAGTTTCAACAACCCCAGCCAAGGAAACGAGGGTATTTATTAAATAAAAACGTGAATATATTTTATGACTCGGCGCCACTGGGGCCCTACTTACTTCATGCGGACCGTAAACCACAGCCAGAGCCTTGGTGTTTCCCTGCTCCAGATAAGCAGAACCGTCTGCCTGGGCAAACACTCCCATACGGGCCTGAAACTTCCGCAGTTCGGAGGCTTTTCTTCCATCCAGGCGGTATCCTTGGTCGGTGAGCAGCTCCAACCCCGCCATGTTTCGTAGAAGTCACAGCAACACACCCCACGTGTTTTTTGTTGCGAAACTACATTACCCATCGATCACTGCGGTGAACGGATACTACTTCTTCTTCTTTTTCTTCTATGCTGCTTTATGAGAGTTTACACACTGTTGTGTATACCGCCATCAACTGGATGGAGATGTAGTTCAGGAAAAAACATTCTATACATCTTCGTATCTTAAAAAAAAAACACACACACATAAATACTAAATCCCCTGATCTAATTTTGTCTTTTAAATACTTAATAAATGCTTTAACTACATCATGTGATTGATGCTTTCCTAATAAATTAACCATATT